AGGGAATTCAAGCACTGTTAGCACTTGGTATTCCTTTCTCTGTGCATATGTAATTAGACACCCCACCTTCACACCAGAAATCAGAGCATTCCACCGTGCTGGTTGTGTGGCTCAAATGAGTATTATTCCATTCTGCGGCTGTACTGGATTTAGCCCATCTCCTAATCTTGACATTGCAGGTATTTCCAGCATATTGCTTAAAAGCATTAGGCAGTGAGGATGATGGGGAGGCAGCAAGTGGACTGGGCTCTGGAGACACTGTAAGCCTTCAAAGCGCAGCCCTCCGACTTAGCTGTGTGATTGTAAGTTACTTAACTAGTCTGTGCCTGGGTTTCATCATCAGTAAAAAAGAGAAATGACAGCAGCTGGCTGCCAGGGAGGCTGTGGGGTGAATCTATGTGTGGGGGGTTGTTAGAAAGGCATAACAGCCACAGTCAGCCCTGCGAAAGTGCTCACAAACACTCTACCAGCCCCAGGACTCCTGAGCTCAGCTGATTCCTAAGAATGCAGTCCCTGATGTGGGATCACAGGTCAGCCTGCAGAACTGCAAGGAAAGTGCCTTCGAAAACCCCAGCAGAAACAAGAACAAAGTTCTTTAGCCCTATTCCCTGAGCCCAAAAACAAGGACTCAGAAGATCCAGAAGGCAAGTAAGTTCACTGTACCATGGAGCACCAGGATTCCCACCGCCAGCTCCCCTTGTGGTCAGCTCATCCGGCAGGCAGCAGGTAACAGAAGGCACTCACTGACACTGCAGCTTGCAAACCGGGCAAAGACCCAGAGCACGAGCACGTCCAGGAAGCTGACGTGCCAGTCCCTGGGCTGCACCCCACTTATCTAGGACTTGCATTTTATTTTAACGTCATAACTTTGTATTATTTTTCCTTAAAGAAAACTCCCAAATTGTATAAGCTTCAGAAACCAAAGAATCAGAACTGCACCTAAACATACCACTGATTTATTAATTGATCTGTTTCTCCCATTAAATTATTATCATCGGGCAGTTACGGTGGCTCATACGTGAAATCCCAACACGTTGGGAGGCTGAGGTTGGGGAATTGCTCGAGCCCAGTAGTTCTAGACCAGCCTGGGCAGCATAGCAAAACATCATCTCTACAAAAAATAAAAAAATTAGCCAGGCGTGGTGGCGCACGCTCTTATTCCAGCAACTCAGGAGGCTGAGGCAGGAGGATCGCTTGATCCTAGAAGGTCAAGGCTGCAGTGAGTCATGATGGCACAACTGTACTCCAGCCTGGGTGCCAGAGTGAGACTCTATCTCAAAATAAATACATAAATAAAATAGGGAAATAAATAAGTTATTAACATCTTGAGGATGTAGCTCTCATCTTATTGTTTTACCTCCAGTGCTCAGTCAAGTGCCAGTGAGCTGGAAGGCACTCAGTAAGTATTTGCTAAATGAATGAATGAGTAAGAAAAAAAGAAAAACAGCCTGAATGAGAACCTCCCTCCCTCTTCACTTCACTCAGGCAACTTGGATCCATCCTCAAAATCACCCTCTACACATTCATCCGCTAATCCTTCTCTCCCCATCAGCCTTTCAGATACTCCAGAGTGCTCCCAAGTCTCCTCTCCCCTCCCACCCCAAACAACCCCCATTTCTGCCACTGTTGCTTTTAAAGGTTATCAGCAACGGAAATTCCAACAGCTCCTTGCTGCTGCCCATCAGAATATTGAATGACAGACAGGATGTCCTCTTATCTAATCAGAGTGCCCTGGCCTGCAGTCGGTCTCTGGGCCAGCTGATAACGTTTTTTTGTTGTTGGAGGAAATGCTTTAGCTCCCAGGGAGAGTGTCCCCCCATGTGGCACTGCCCAGAAGGAAAACAGGCCTGGTTCTCTGGGGGGAGGCCACAGTCCCCTGAAGAAAACTGAATCAGTCCCTGCGTGTCTGATCAACAGTCCCTGTTCTCCTTCTCACCTCCCTATTTTTCTTTCCTGTCTGCCATGTGACTTGGTTCTAGAAACATTTCCTGGAAGAGACACTCCTTGACCACCACATCCATGCTGTGCCCTGCCCTGGGACCTCCTGCCCCTGCCCATACCATATATATATATATATATATTTTTTTTTTTACTGTGTATCTCTTCCTCTTTCTCACCCCTAGCTAGGATCTTTGTCTCATTAGAGCAGTGCCTGGCACAGAAGCAGCTCAGAAATGTTTGTCAATGCCTGCCTGAAACCAGCATTTATCTGGTGCACATTCTGCATCTTTGCTGGGAGCTAGAGACAAAAACGTGTTTAAGTTAAGGCTTCCACACTGAAGCAGCTCTCCCAAGAAACCACCCTGCAAGAGAAGAAATGTTCCCTCTGCAGAGAGGCCCTGTTCTGTAATCACATCCTCAACCTGATCAATGTCTTCACAAGGACAAGACAGCAGTCCTGCATCCCCCACAGAAACTCTCACTCCCACATGCAACACACACCACCACGTGCATCTACACACACCTCCTAACAGGACTCCATCTGAGAGATGCAGACCATACACATGGTCCACATGTTTGGCTGGCCTGCACTGTGACAAATGCTGTCAGCAGGGACAAATGCTACCCCGGTCTTCTGCTCTTGTTTTTGTCCTGAGACAGAGGTTTCTCCCTAGGCCCTTTGATCAAAAGCTGAGGGACAAACAGGTGCTTGCCACTTTACCAACTGTATAACTTTGCACAAGTTAATTAGCTTTTCAGAGTCTTGGTTTGCTCATCTGTACTTGGGTCACTGAGTTGATGTCAGAAGTAACAGAGAGGGAAAGGGTCTAAAACTGGGCCTGAACATGGTTTAATAAATGTAGCTGGTGGTAGCGTTGAGAGTGAAAGTAGAATGACTGTTCAGCATCATTCAGATAGACATGAATTTCCAGAATGTCCTAGCACCATTAGTGTGAACTCACGGTGATTTTAATAGATAGATAGGTCAATTTGAAAATGATCTGAATGATGTGTGGATGTACATGTGGATGTGCATATGTATGTATAGAAATGTGCTTCTCTGTGTGATACACCGCCCCCCTCCCCACACACACCCGTTATGTCTGCCCAGAGGGCCTAGAGGCAATGCTACCCCAGGAACAATAAGCACACCTAGTAGCAGATCTTGGTTTCTAAACACCATTTCCCATGAAAAGGAACCAAGGCTCCCATGTTGATTCCACCACTGAGGTGAGGAGAGTAGAAGATGAGGCTAGAATACCTTGCTGTGACAACAAGGCAGCAAGTGCTCAAATTATGATGGAGAAATGTTAGAGACACAGGAGCCAGGCCCTAGCGGACAGATTTGGGGCAATGTAAATATCAAAATAACTGATGATCACAAAAGACTGCAACCTATTGAATAAAATTAAAATCCATGAGTCCACACTGATATAAAGAAAGGAAGGGCTGGGCATGGTGGCTTACACCTGTAATCCCAGAACTTTGGGAGGCCAAGGCAGGCAGATCACTTGAGGTCAAGAGCTGGAGACCAGCCTGGCCAACATGGTGAAACCCCATCTCTACCAAAAGTACAAAAATTAGCTGGGCATGGTGGTGCATGCCCATAATCCCAGATACTCAGGAGGCAGAGGCAGGAAAACTGCTTGAACCTGGGAGATAGAGGTTGCAGTGGGCAAAGACCAAGACTGCACCACTGCACTCCAGCCTGGGTGAGAGTGACTCCTCTGTCTCAAAAAATAAATAAATAAATAAATAAATGATGAACGGAGGAAGAAAATTTCTTCTTTATAGTAGGAAACCAACTAATAAATGAAAAAGAAACAGTGAAATTAGAAAAATCACCATTTGGCAACTATGATAATAATAAATCTATTCAGGCAAGAATCATCAAAAGATGCTAAAACTAATGACTGATAGACTGAGGACTAATCAGATATCTACACAATCTCAGAACTTCTCGCCATAAGATGCTTATTAATGGCAAAGGTGAAACAGTAACTTTGCAGTAGAGACACCTGGAAGACACCACCTTAACTGAGAGCTCCAAGCTAACATCACCAGTAATGGGAGACAGCCACACTGGTGCCTCTTGATACAATGCACTGAAAAGGACACATCAGCTCTGGGCTAGTCCTGCCAACCTAATCACAAGGAAACATCAGAAAAGCCAAAATTGAGCGCATTCTATCAAATAACTGGCCTGAACTTGTCAAAAAGGTTAACGTGCTGAAATACGAGATTAAGAAAGTTTTCCAAGAGACACATGCCAACGGGCTTTTCTTTTGCCATAAAGGAATTTATCGGGGGCAACTGGTGAAATCTGAATGAGAAATCAGAAAGTTAGATAATAGTCAAATTAACGTTAAGTTTCTGACTTAGAAAGTTGTATTCTAAGATACAAGTTTCTGATTTCAGAAAAAAATGTAGAGAAAAAAGAAAAAATGAACATGATAAAATGCGAACATTTGAAAACCTGGACAAATGGAGTCCAGGAATTTGTTGGCTGTTCTTATAACTTTTCTATACATTTGCAATCATATAAAAATAAAACAATTGAAAAAAATTACAAATGGAAATGAATGCTCTGGTTTCACGAGATTGAGAAAAAATCAATATATTACTTAGTACATTGTATGTGCCCAATAATTTAAAGCTATAATAATTATTATTAGTAATAATGATAATAATTATTAGTAGAACAGCGCACCTGGCACATAATAAGCTAGAAATGGACAAAAAATATTATCACTGTTAACATCATCACCATCATCATCATTCTTGATATGCTTGATTCTAAGAAATAACTAAAAAATTAATACTATTATTTGTATTACTTATAATTACTTTGTATCTGCATTAAACTCCATGGTTTGAAGGTTTGCTATAGAAATGCCTGCTTAAAACGCATACAGCACTCCTCTGTAACGGTGAGGTGCTTGAAGACCAACCAAAAGAAAGAGGCAGGGGGGTCATTTTCAAATCTAGATGTGCAGAATACATATCAATTGGATCTTTTCTCATCAATGGAGTCTCTGCTTTGTTCTTGCTTGTGCTTGGGTAACCCAAACATAAGAAAGCCCAGCTTCTAAATGCCAAACGTAGGGCCTTTGCCCAGACCTGTTGGCCATCTAGAGTCTCTTCTCTCTTCTTTCTTGGGTCCCTTCCATACAAACTGTGCATCTCAATGATCAGCCCTTGTTATTCCCACTTGCATTGGTTTATGCACCAAGCAGAACCTCCTGTTATGTCCCCAGTCTTGTCCCATCTAAGATGGTGAGCTAGCTCCAGGTCCAAGGCTCTCCCCCACCTGTCTATCGTATAGAACTGTCTGTGTTCAGCACAATTCTGAGATGTGGTATATTCCCAAGCATCATTACTTTGTTCAACATGTTCTTTCAAAGTAAACCTATGACCATATCCAGGAACCATATTGTCTTTTGTCTCCATTCTTCCTCATTCTTCTAAGACTCACACATGCCACATTTTCCGCTCATTTTCTTCCTCTCCTTGTTTCTTATCGCTCTTGCCCATATATTTACCCCTTGGGAACGTGGAAGCCATTGCTTCTTCCCCTTTAGAGGAGGCCCCACATGGCCCCTGACCTACCTGGGACCCCAGAAGGGCTCAAGCTCACATCCATATCTACTTGTATAAATAAAACGAATAAACCCCAAGGCCCAAGTGGATTTGTTTTACATGGAGTCACAAACAGACACCACAAGATGGCTCCCAAAGAAATGTTAAAAGCTACTCCATTCTTATACGAGAGAGAGAGTGAGAGAGTGCACACAAGAGAGAGAGAGAGGCCCTTGCCAGTAATCATATAGAAAACAGCTATACACACTCACAGACATCAGCCTTCCTTCTTCTTCTGCAATGATTGCAATTATGCCCAAGCTCGGTTAGAGACCAGAAGAGTGAAGTGACACATCCCGGGTGATCTCAATGTTTCCCAAGCTAACTCTGCACTGATAAAAATGTCCTCTATCTGCACTGTCCATGGGTACCCATAAGCAACATGTGGCTACTAAGCACATGAAATGTGATGTGACTGAGCCCTGAATTCTTCATATTATTTCATTTTAATTAAAATTTCCATATCCCCATATGGAGTGGCTCTGTGTGGACAGCTCAGCTGTAGAACAGAGGTTGCAACACCTTTTCTGTTAAGGACCAGGGAACAAATACGTCAGACTTTGCAGCCACACAGTCTCTATGGTAATGACTCAGTCAGGCTGCCGCAGTGTGAAAACAGCCGTACATGACACCTGAACAAATGAGCATGGCGGGGCACCAGCGAAGCTTTATTTACAAAGGCAGGCTGGGCCAGGCTTGTCCCGTAGGCCACAGTTTGCTGACACTTGCTCTAGGACACACCAGAGTGTCGTGCCAGGCCTTCTTCGGGATGACAGGCACTTGTCATCAAAGGATTATCTGAATTCAGGTTTTTACTTACCAGTGTTCATGAGAGATCAGAAAACTCTCCATTTAAGAAAAAGAAAGGCTGCTAGATACTAACAATCTGCATCTTTCTCCTGAGGGATACTGTATTCCCCTGCCATGGGAACTCCTCTTAATGGCATGTTTCTGGACAAGCAGGACATGTTTCAGACACCAAGAAATAGGAGAACATCTTCCACATCCTCCATGTAACATAATCAATGGAAAACAAAACAAAACAGAAAAGGTAGCACATCTCACTTGTGCTGCAGACAGATTAGTCACTTACCTCCACAGACTGAGTGACCGTCCATCTCTGGTCCCCAAATGGAATTGTCCTGACCCAAGCTCAATGCGTTTGCTCACTGCAGCTCTTGGGGATGTTAATTTCCTCTCATTCGCATTTCCAGTTCAGGAAGATGAAATCTGAAAATGGTACCGGCTGGAGGGGAAGAGGAGAAAAGTTTAGGTCAGTTTTGGCACTTAGTCCATCCTCTGCCTTTTTAGGATGACTCAAGATAATGAAAAGATATTCACCCACTTAATCCATTCACTCATCCAATTATTTATATAGCACTATCTGTTAAACAAACACCTATTCTGTTCCAGGCACAGAGCCACACACCAGGACAGGAAGGTGAGTAACTCACAACTCCTCTCCTCAGGGAGCTCAGACCGGGAGAAAACAGAAACATACACAAACAACTCAGGAAAATGTAATACAGGGGGCTTGGGCACCTGTAATCTCAGCACTTTGGGAGACCAAGGCGGGCAGATCACTTGAAGTCAGGAGTTCGTGACGCCTGCGAATGGTGAGAACCTCACTCTACTAAAATACAAATTGGCTGCATGGCGTCCACACGCCGTAGTCGCCAGCTAGTTGGGAGGCGGACGGCAGGGATCGCGGTGAACCTGGGAGGGTGGAGGTTACATGTGACGTGTAGGATGGCGGCGACTGCACTCCAGTCAGGAGAGGAGAGAGGATCCACTCAAAAAGACGAAGAGGGCAATGACGAACTCCGTGGAGTAATTGAAGAGGAGATGCATTGTTGTTGCTGTCCGAGAGCGAGAGGAGGCTGTTACGTAAAAACAAGGAACCATGGGGAAGGAAAAATAGAATATGTGGAGAGTAATGAATGTGAAAGGTAATCGCGGGTGTAGGGTAACCCAGCCGGTGAGGCAGGAGTGTGAAAGGTTCTGAAGACTGTATCTGGCTGGTGCGGACGGGTGGTGGATGCCTAAGTCATGCGCGGCACGTGGGCGAGTGCCAAGGCGGGTGGCATCTTGAGGTAGGAGTCGAAACCACCTGGCAACATGGTGAAGAGTCGTCTGTACTAGAAAATAAAAATTACGCCAGGTGTGGTAGCACATAGGCACCGGTGACTCTACTCCCCGAGATCAGGCCAGTCCCATAGGGCAGGAGAGATTTGCTGCGAACTGAGAGATGAGGTTGCAGGTGGAGCTGAACACCACGTACTCCAGCACTGGGCGACAGCGGGGACTCGGGTCTCAAAAAAGAAAAAAAAAAAAAAAGAAGAAAGAAAAGAAGGACTGTCAGTCTGACCTAGAGATAGGCACCAGAAACCGTCAATGCTTACTGGGTCCAGTCGACTGATGAGACGTGCACGCTCGTTTCCATAGAATGCTCTCATGAAGATCACTGAGGGTTGGGGTCCCGAAGGATGATGCCCATGTTGGAAGGATCGCGCAGGGATTGAGGCTTTGAAACTAGAGTAAACGCTGTTCAGTAGGACCAAAAGCAGTGACATGGCAGGGAACAGGACCACAGCAGGAAAACGATCGCGCATTCACTTCTGGGTTGTGAAGTTCCTCAGTAGACCAGTTGCTGTAGCAATGCGCGCAATTTGTTCAGGGCACGCTGGCATGCGATACTCTGCGTGTGCTTGCCCCCCCGCCCCCCAGCATGAGGGGGAATCAAAGTTTGGCCACGACACTTGCTTTAGCCAATGGCACAATAGCAAAGGTGACACAAATAAAGACTTTAAAAGTGCTTATGTCTAAAAGTTCCTCTCTCTTGCTGCTGGGAATCATTCTTTTTTTTTGTGGGGGGAGTGGGGGAGATGGATCTCACTCAGTTGCCCAGGCTGGAGGGGCCGTGGCATGACAACCACCCACTGCAGCCTTGACCTCCCAGGCTCAAGCGATCCTCCCTCTAAGCCTCCTGAGTAGCTGGAACTACAGTCTCATGCTACCACACCAGGCTAATTATTTTTATTTTTTGTAGGGTCTTGCTGTGTTGCCATGGTTGGTCTCAAGTTCCTGGGCATGAGTCATGCCATGCCCAGCTGCTGCTGGAAATCATTCTGCTGTCACATTGGCAAGCCTGAGGTAGCCCCCGGAGGATAACAGACAATGTGTGGAGAGAGGCTGAGGCACCCCAGCTCAGCCTCCAGATGTGTGGATGGGCCAGCACAGGCAATCAGCCTAACACACACTGTGCAGACCAGATCATCAACCCACAGAAATCATAAATGTCTGCTATTTTTAGGCACTGGGGTTTGGGGCTGTTTGTTATACAGAGAAAGCTGACTGATACAACCACTGAGGTATCTTTACACCCCTGGCAATGGCGACACATGAGGATAAACATGTGTGTTAGGAAGAAAGTTCAGTCCCTGTCGAGTTGGTGATTATGAAGAGATAATGAGGGCCAGAAGGCAGGGCCCTGGGCAAAAGGAGGAGTGGGAGATTCAAGAGCTCTTTTAGAGGGAGGAACAACAGCATTTAGTGACTGTCTAAGCCCAGAGTTGTCTAAAGGAATTTGCCTGGCTCTGGAAACCAACCATGTGTGGTGTTGACTATAAACAGATTCTATTTGGCACCTGCTGATGGGGGCAGGATGTTACATAGAAGATACATGAACGTGACCAGAGTCAGCACAGTTAGGGGTCAGGGTCTGGGAAAGCTACAGGAACAAAACTCTTTCTTTTCAGAAATGAGAAGTAAGGCACAAAGATCACTGCCACAGCCTCCTAGCCAGGCTTAAAATAGGCATCGCCTCTAATGCCAACTCCCGCTCTTGGCAGCAGCCAGGGGGATCCTTGTAAATTGTAACTCAGGCCTCCCTCCCTTGCATCACTGGCTCACACCTTCCCCATTCCCTCTGTACTTTCTACTCACCCTTCAGATTTCAGTGTAAACACCACTTCCCAGAGACATCTTCGCTGACTCTGGGGATGAGGCTGGGCACAGCCCCTCCATATTTTCAGTGTTCCTTGCATTGTGACAAAGCATTATCACCAACATGTTAACTCCATAAGGGCAAGGGCATGTCTGCCCCACATACCACTGTGTCCTTGCCACCCGGCACACCACTTGGCATGTGGGAGAAAGTCTATTCCTATTTCTTGAAGGAGAGAGTGACCAAAACAATAAAGGTATCACACTTTTAAGATGTTTTCTTGGCCACACCCCCTTCCAGTACCCATGGCTTCATTCTTGTGTTTCTTCATTCATTCCTTTTTTTTTTTTTTTTTGAGATGCAGTCTCACTCTGTCACCCAGGCTGGAGTGCAGTGGCGCGATCTCAGCTCACTGCAAGCTCTGCCTCCCGGGTTCATGCCATTCTCCTGCCTCAGCCTCCCAAATAGCTGGGACTACAGGCGCCCGCTACCACGCCAGGCTAATTTTTTGTATTTTTAGTAGAGACGGGGTTTTACCGTGGTCTTGATCTCCGGATCTCATGATCCACCTGCCTCAGCCTCCCAAAGTGCTGGGATTACAGGCATGAGCCACCACGCCCAGCCTTCATTCTTCCATTTAGCAAGAATTTACTAAGCACCAGGCATCACCTCAATCCCACCATTGGTTGCTCTCACTAGACCGAGCCGTCAAAGGTGGGGAAGGGGAGCTGTTATTTTACTTGACACTAGGTTTCCCCACTCTCACCCCCACTGGCTATCCTATGGGTGTAGGAGGCACTAAATAATGACCAGTGAATCCATGAATAAATGGGTGAACAGGCAGCTCAATCTCAGATAATCCAGCAGGGTGTGGCTGATTTATAAGTCCGCAGAAGCTCATTACTGAGTCTGGGCCTTCTGTATGTTACATCTTACTAAATAGTCGAGAATCCTTGTAATATAAAAATCTGCATGTATATATGCCTATGTCAGGATATACACTGTAACTGTTCTACGCCGTAAGATATAAGGGGGTAATGCATGAATCAGATTAAACATGGAGCCCTGCTCTGAATGAAGTCTCTGACTCCACAGCCTGGCACCTGTGGCCAACTGTGATCTTCAATTAAAGCCTAAGACTCTACTTGAAGCAATGCATAACATCCTGAACCAAATCTTCCATCGGTCTTAGGTTGGCTTTGAAAAAAATAAGTTGGCAATTGCATTGGATTCTAAATTCCAACGGACAAGTTTGCGACCTGGAGGCTTATCTTAAAAACTAGAATTCGCTGGGCACGGTGGCTCACGCCTGTAATCCCAACACTTTGGGAGGCTGAGGTGGGCAAATCACCTGAGGTCGGGAGTTCGAGACCAACCTGACCAACATGGAGAAACCCCGTCTCTACTAAAAATACAAAATTAGTTGGGCGTGGTGGTGTATGCCTGTAATCCCAGCTACTCAGGAGGCTGAGGCAGGAGAATCACTTGAACCCGGGAGGCAGAGGTTGTGGTGAGCCGAGATCCTGCCACTGCACTTCAGCCTGGGCAACAAGAGTGAAACTCCATCTCAAAAAAAAAAAAGGCAAAACCAAACAAACCAAAACTAGAACTGCATCCCATGGGGGACTCACCTTCTGCAGCCTCAGTTTTTCAGCTTCTCTAATATAGGACTAGGGTGTTAAATGCAGAGGAAAGGCAATTATTCCACTGTCTTTCTGCACCAGATCCCAGGAACAGCCTGACAGCTCCTCAGAGTTTGCTTGCCTTTTGGTTTTAACAGGAGCCTTGGAAATCTTTTCTGAAAGCCATGTCCCAGTTCTCTTCTCACTCATGCTCTGCTGTCATGCCTCTTTCTATATTGAGTCCCTATATCCCCACCCTTCCAAGATTGCTTCCAATTAAGAGCAACAGCTAAACTCTTACCGCTGAAACATCTGTGAAGCATGTTCATACACACGAGCCATACAAGAAAGACAAATCAGAAAGTGTCCCCATTTTTGGAGAGGTTCAGAAAAGCTCATGTGACTCTCCAAGACCACAAATGAGGAAACCAAGGCCCAGAGAAGTGGCTCCTCCATGACACAGCTTGAGAGCTGTGCAGCTGGACAGCGGGCAGAGGGCCTTAGACCCAGGGTTCAGTGTTCTTCCCGATACCAGGCAAACTACTATCATCCTATTCCAGCCCATTCATCCCTTTCATTTCCACCCATCCAACTGGTAGCCACTAGCACCAATCTAGGAGCTAAGCAGGGAACTGCTGGGCTTAAACCAAGAGACCTGGAAGCAAGAAAAATGTCTAC